ACAAATTTAAAAATTATTAAGAGTAAATCTTGAAAATCTTCATCACAAATAAATTTTGTTACCTATCTGTGGGAAAAAAAGGAAAATAGGCAATCAGAATAGTAACAAAAGCATTCTATTTTATTTAATAATTGCTTGGTGATATGTGTCACTTGAACTTGTGAAAATACAGAGATTCCTTGTAGTCTTTACTGAATATCCTTACTTGTGCCTGTGTGATCAAGAATTTGTGGTTTTACAAGCTCCTGTGATAATGTTTAGGAGCAGAAAAGCTTAGAAAACATTAACCTAGAATCAAACATTTTAAGAAAATGTCTGTTTCCATCTCTATGATTACTGGAATTTTCATGACTTTGGAATGATTTTTTAAAATGGCTTATCTGAGTCAACAACTATATTTTTAGCATAACATACTCAAGACTCAATTGATATCCTAGGTAACTACAAAAGTCACACTTCAGAAGTGTGAAAGAAGAAATTTTAAGTGAGACAACTTCACATGTAATGTTTTAAAATACCATATGTTAATACAAAGGGTCACATGATAGAGTAAATTAATTTTGCCTATCATTTGTGAATGAAGGTTTAAAGAATGAAGGTTTCTAAAGAAGCAACACATAAAAAAATCACATAGTGTAGTACTGGTTATACATCTGTTCTCTAATAGGGTGGTTTTACGGCTACAGCATTGTGCAATTTCAGGGGTCAAAATTCTTATTTTTGTGTATGGTCATGAGAAGCAGAAAGAGTCAATAATAAATCTACTCCAGTTCTATACTTATTAAATGCTAAATTTAGATTAATTGTAAAGTTTTATGAAGATCAGATACTTGATACTTGATTCTAAATATATCATCTATATGTTTTTCACTGGAAATTTAGATTTAACTTAGTCTTTTTTAAAATTTAAGGTGAGAGAGATGCTGGAATTCAAATACAGTGATTTGGATCTTGCAATTTCCATCCATCCACCTTTTTTTATGTCACCATCCCAAAGACTCATCTTCATCCTGATCTATATAAGCCATGTATGGTGTTTGGTTTTTATCTATTTCTCTGCTTAGTGATTAGCTGTACGTTTAAAATTTACATACCTATATTGTGCTATATAGTACCTATTTCTTTGTACACAGCACTTTGTTTTCAATTTCTATCCTCGTTTCCATGAAAACATCCACCCAGTTTCTTTAAATGCTCTACACTATTCCATGGAATGAATCCACCACATTCTATTGATCTATCCTCCTGGAATCATGCCTCCAATTTCTCAGGTTCACAAATAATGCTATATTGAATATTCTTATGAATATCCCTTTAGGAGACTTTGTGAAAATGTCTATTTTATATTTATGTCTATTTTATATACATGTCTATTTTATATATATTTGCATATGTATATATGTGTGTGTGTGCACACATGCATGTGTAGGAGCAAGATACTTAGTACCTGGTTTACATGCCAATCAAATATGCATGCAGGTTCTAGTGTCCTCATTTCCCCATGAACATTAGTCAGAGTAATTATTTTTGTCAGTCTGCTGGATATAAATATTTCAATTATATTTCTTTAATTAATAAGAAGGTTAAGAATCTTCTCATAAACTTATTGGCCTCTTAATCAAACATCTTTGCAAGTTACCTGCTCTTTTCTCATGCCCTTTTTTAAAATTTACTTATCTTTTTAATATATTAAACTTTTTTTAAATTTTTAAGATTTATTTTTATTTATGCAAGAACTGGGGCACAGGCCAGATGTGCAGGAGGGTGAGAAGATTCACCAGAGACAGAGTGGGGAACAGAACAGGCAGACAGACTGAAATACACTGCTGAGGGGAGCAGCGGGTGAGACAGGAGAGGTCTGCCTCACCATGTGGGTATCTCCCCTGATGGCTGGGATTGAACCCATGCTGCAGAGGCTGTGGGCAGCTTCACAGTGCTGCGCTCAACTGCCTGTGTCACCAGGGAGGCCCTAAATTTACTTATTTTAAATTGAGGTAATATTTAGCTACCCCCATCAGGTTTTGCCACCACAATGCTTCTCATGCCTGTTTTAAAAAAACAGAATTTCTGCCTTTTCCTGATTGATATTCTGGTGTCAGAATATCTTTTGTCAGTTTTTTACACTACAAATAGTTTTCAGTCCATCATCTTTTCTACCTCTGTCATAGTGTACACTTACATGAAATTCTCAATTTTAATATAATTGAAATGAATGGTTTTAATATTGAAAATTATGCCTTGGAGTTTTAAGAACTCTTTCCTACCTTGCATCAGAAAGGTATTCTCCTATATTATCATTATTACTTTCATGTACATTTGGCTCTTTCATCCCTTGAGTTCACATTGTATATGGCATAAGGCCAATAATTTTTCTCCCCCCTTCATAACACTCCGCCTACATTGACAAGATTCCATATAAGACCTACCTGAAAAGAAAACTAGTCAGCAAATTGTACAAATACTATTTTTAAAAACGAAGTCAACAAATACTGAGGTAAATATTGGCTTACAACATTGTATGTAATTCAAAGGCCTAGGGTCACACTTCTTCAAGGCATGTCTCACACCTCACCCACCATAAAGCACTCATAGTCCTCCACCTTATTTATTTCAATGTGACACAATTAATTTACTATTTTTTTAAAGATTTATTTTTATACAAGAACTGGGGTACAAGCCATAGGTGAGGGAGGGTGAGAGGATTCATCGGGGACAGAGTGGGGAACAGAACAAGCAGACTGACTGAAATACACTGCTGAGGGGAGCAGCGGGTGAGACAGGAGAGATCTGCCGTGCCATGTGGGTATCTCCCTGGCCAGCCAGGAATCAATACTGTGCTGCAGAGGCTCTGGACAGCTTCCCAGCACTGCGCTCAACCTGCTGTGCCACCAGGGAGGCCCTTCATTTACTTTTTGTTAGGAACATATCCATTTTATGGGGACTTCTGTATTTCTATTTCTTTTATATTACTGTTGCTATGGGGACTTCTGTATTTCTATTTCTTTTATATTACTGTTGCTATTTTTATTTTACTAATACTAGAAATACACCAAAATATGGCACAACCCTCTACTTTGTGATTTGATGCATCCACTGTGTGTGAATCAGCAAAACAGAAAGTCTGCTGGATTTCAAAGACGGTCTGCTGGATTTTAATGAAGGAAGGGAATGGGGAGGAACATTTAAGCATATAGAACAGTATACATAATAGAATGAATGAAAAAGAAGATGGCAAATTGTTGGAAATATTAGGCTATAGGGCCCATGAAAGGGGACCAGTTTGGGTTTGGAGCTCTTAAAGTCTGGTAAGGTTGATTATGAATTTATGGGTTGGTAACTTACATGCTGTAATATAAAGTTTCAATTTTATCTTTTAGGTAAAATAAAGACAATGATGTCAAAAACACAGAAGACAAATTGGAAAAGTGTCTTATGGTTAGAAGAGAGAGAGAATATAGACAGAGGGTGAGCCATTAGAAAGCAGGCTGCCGGGATAGAATGAGTGAGAGACAAATTTATTCCTAGAATTTCCAGAGAACCAAATTTCTAAACTAGCGTCATCTAGCAGAATGAAAAGCTAAAATTACGAACAATGATGTATATATAAAATGTTTTGCTTATACAGTGACAAACTCCTAGCTTAATTTTTTTTTCTATTAGGCTAAGGAATGAGTTACCCCAGAAAGATGTAATACCATTATGAAACCCAGCTTGAAACCCAGCTTGACAGAATTTCACTTGCTTTCATCTAACATATACTTCAGGAATCTGATCCACTCCAGTAACTAGGCATTTCCATGGATAATAACAGTTCTCAAAATCTAGTGAATCAACTGTACTCTTCATGGAAGGGAACAGGCAATGGTTAAAAATCTACCTCCAAACACCAGTTTTGTAAATAACAATATAGAAGTCATAGCATGCATTAGAAAATTTCAATGCAACAAAAACATAATATATAGAGATGAAAGTAATAAATGAAATCACTTAATCAACACAGGAACAGAATCCAGAATATATTGTAGAATTTTCTAAAAATTAGTAAGTAAAAGACCAGCAAGTTAAGAGAAAAAACAGCAAAATATCAACAGGAAATTCACAAAAAATAAAACTCAAATGCTGAATGAGCATGTGAAATGATTTTGTAATTCATTATTGGCCTTCTTGTTGTTACTATTATTATTTCAGTGAAGACAAAAGAACCAGCCTTTTCTTTTCCTTTCTAAGAAGATTGTACCCTTGCCCTTTAAATTCTAATACAACTGATTTTGATATAAAAAAAGTACAATTTACTAAATTCACTTATATAGTAGAAAAATTATAATACTTAAACATTTCTTATATTCACAGAAACATTCTTTTTAAAGAATTAGCAATACTAGACTAGTGCTTATCTTTGAAGATGAAGAGAGGGAAAAGGAATTTGAAAGATGTAAAAAGTGAAACACCATTTCATGTATAATATTTAATGTCTTTAAAGAGCAGAGCAAATATTGCAGCATTAAAACAGTTGGTCATCTAGATGGTAAGTATATGCATAATTGATTTACTTTCTGTATTTTTGAATGTTTCTTAGTAAAATTTAGATACATTAAAATTTTATTTTGTTCTATAAAAATTTCCCTGTCATATTTATGAGGTAAAATGATAAGGAAAGCTCAGTGTAAGAAGAACAACATACGGATAGGAGTTGGAATCCAAATTCTGGTCTCAAATCTACTTGCTCATTATGCGACCTTGAGGAAATCACTTAATTCTTCAAAAACTGATTCCTCATCTGAAAAACTTGAATGACAGCATTTTCCTTTACTGCATGAAGTTATTGTAAGGAATAAATTGCTTTGTGTATATGAGAGTGATATTCAAATGTGTATAAAAGGTATTGGAAATCCTTAAAAACTGCAGTTGATGTGAAATTAAATGAACATATTTTTCCATTTTACTGTCATTCTAAATTTGTGAAAAAACACATTAGAAAGTAGACACATATCTTTTCTTACCGGATCTAATAGCTGGGAATAGAGTTCGTGGCAATTGTCAAAAATATACTTGTATGTAGAATCCAGGCAAGCTCTGACACAGTCCTTCACGACCATGCTAGCCTTTGGGGGACTCTGAAGCTCTAGAACCTGATAGACAAATTATGTTCTTAAACTCAAAAATGGAACATTTTTAATCCAGTATAAACAATTCAAACAACATTCAATGTAGAATTTTAATTGACTGATTGATTTTAACTGATTTTCCAATGTTCAGGAAAAATATGGCTTTAATATGTTTTAAATGTATAAATATCCATTTTGTCTTCCTGATATGACAACTGAGTGAAAATGATTGCTGTAAATATTCAAATAGAAACACTTCATTTCACCCACTTCATTTCACCAACCATTGCATAACTCTTATAATTTTTCATTCATTTGCTCATTCAACCAGTATTTATCACCCACTATATGGCAGAAAATGGTGGTGCTACAATTAAAAATCCATTTCCTTCTGGAGCTAAATTCTAGTAGATGATGGATAAAATAAATGAAGAAAATATATTGCATGATGTTACCTTTTGAAAAAAAAGAAGAAAGAAAAAGAAATAGTGTTCTATTGGGATATAATTAATCAGAGTACAACAATAGTAGATGAATTCAGAGCACATGGGCCAGTGGAAAAAATCACATACAGCTTACTATATAACTAAGTATAAGCAAGATAGATAGGAATTGCACTGTTTTTATTGCTTTTCAGTAAGTTCAATATTTCCTTTTTTCCAAGTTTCTTTATTTTTAATTGAGGTAATATTAGGATACCTCCATCAGGTATTGCCACCATACTGTGCTCACTATCAAATCACCCACAGTCCACATAGTTCATTGTGATTCCTTTCCTCTTTGTTCTTACCTCTTCCCCACCTCCTCCCCATCTAGATGCTTCAGTTTTGTAGTCAACTTTCAAGGGTTGGTTTTTAAGTTTGTTTTTATCTGACTCTTAATTTGTTTTCTCTATATTCCACACGTTTATGACATCACTGGTATTTATTTTACTTCTAACTTATTTCAGTTAACATGATCCCTTCCAGCTCCAACCATGTTGCTGCAAATGGCATGAGATTTTCTTTTTTGATCACTGAGTAATATTCCATCGTGTATATGTTTGAGCATAAGAGCAGCATTGGAAGGGTGTATGGTGGTTTATTTTGGGTTCTTTGGTGGTGGATGCATTATAGTGACAATATCTAAAGGAGGATCCTACACTTGGAAACAGTGATGTAAACCAATATTAACTGAATAAAAATATTACAAAAAGTAAAATGATATATGTATCTAAAAGTAAGTAACTTTACAATTCGGTAGATAACAATTAATTATACCTAGGAATCAGCCAATTCATTATATTCCTATAGAGACATTGCCAGGGCTGAAAATGGAAGTTGCCACAATTTGGGGTAAGTGTAAAAGAGTTAACCTTTCCCTTGGGATGAAAAAGTCAGCAAAATAGTTAAAACTAAAATAAACAAACTTCATTTCCATTTAACATTTTAAAGAGTTGGGGTTTTTGGAAGTTTCATGTCCACTTACTAGAAAAGTTTAATATGGCTTTAATTTAAAACCAAATATATCAGAATATCCTGGGACCAGGATAACCCCTTCTTCAATAAACTTCATATTGTAGGATTCATTTAGCTCAGGAAAAGTCACCACAGCTTAACTGCTTGAGCTGAGCAGTGCTGATTAAGATAAAAACATATTTTACCAGGAACAAAAGTGTGATGCTGCACCAAGATAATGAGAAATAAAATGAAGTACCTTCATCCTAAAAAAGGTGATACTTGTTAGCAGGTCAACAGTTGATTTCAGGTCTTGCAGTCTTTCAGCATTGCTAGCAGGAAAGTTTTCCTTATTAGGAAACAGAAAATGGTTAAATTATCAGCATTAAGCTTCTAATGAGAAAGTAAAGACTACACTGTATAGTATCTCTCATAGTATTGTGGCCTCAACAAAAAGTTTCTTTTAGAGGTTTGGTGAGACAAGTCATAAAAATGTAGATGCTCAGAATTTTGAAGGAAAGGAAAGGTATAATTATTAAAATGTTTCATCTAAGAAACAATTTTAAAATTGAGAAATTTCTCATATTAACATGCTCTCAGATTGACTTTTAAAGAACTATTAGGAAATTCACAGGTAACTTTTAAATATTCATGAACTCAAGCAGAGTTGGGGTGCCTAAATGATGGCAAATGCACTTGCCCCCAATATATTTTTCAGTCTCTGACATGGCAGTCTCTTTTCATAGTATTGATCCCAGTTCTAACATAAAAGGTAAGTTAGACAAAATTTGGCATTATAATTTTCAAAGTATACAATTAAACTGTCCATTAATAAGAGACCAAAAATATGAATGCAGATATGGAAATGCAGTTTAGGATATAAAAGAATGAAACAGTCATTACTATAGTTTTTTGTAACTAAAATTTTTATCTAATTGTTTGTAACTAAAATTTTATGTGTATACTTACACATACACACATAAACACAGGGATAGATATAACTGTAGTGTATGTATGTGTGTACATATGTGTGTCTGCATTTCACCTGGAGGAAAAGTATAGAATTACTGATAATGAATTCTGGGCAGCTGCAATAAAATACATTGTACTGATCTAGAAGGACCAAAATATGCAGCAAATAGCAATAAAAATCACAGAAGCAGGCAAAGTATTAGAAGGATATCTCACTGAGTAGGGGAGCTTTCGAGATGAGGACTGGGCCATATGTTTAAGAACTAGCAGAGGGTCACTCAAACTGACAGTTATTTTTGTATTTTATATATTTTTGTTTGTTTTCAATCTGATGGTTATTACAAGAATTATAAAATTAAAGTGCTCTCTCTCTGTCTCTCTCTCTCTCTCACACACACACACACACACACACACACACACACAATATTGACATAGGCTAATATGGGGCAAAGTATCTGAAAAAAAAGATGCCTGATCTCTTCCTTATGAGATTCTTCTACTGTAGTTTTACTTTTCCATTACATATTAGGTTTTATTTTTACATTTGACAAAAAAATCATCTAAGCCAAACTCAGTATTTACCTCTAGGCAAATAATTTTATACATACCCTGTACTTTGACAGGTCAATCCTTAAAGAGTTATGCAGCTGGTCCAGCAGTTTTATGAATTTTTCCCTCTGTACAAAGTAAACACAAAATAGAGAAATGGAAATAAATGGTCATTGTAAATGTAGACCTCACAGTTCCATGAGTTATCCCATTTTATAGAAAGTTCAACTATGTCAATGACTTGTCCAAAATCAGAGCTACTAATGTGACATAGTGGTGATTCAAACTAAGATTTCTTTGACACCAAAACCATGCTCCCTCCAATGAGTCACACTCCTCCTTTGTGACAAATACCCGAGAGTTATGTTCTGCACAGTTGCACTGTATTCCTTTATGTATAATGATTCCCAACAAGAGAGTCAGCATGAGAATCTAGAGCCCACCCCTCTCTGTACCTCTGCACATCACTCTACCTCTTCAGGAATAAATTAGTTTTTTTTAAACTTATACCATATATGGAAGCAATAACAGCTGTTGTATCAAAAATTTTTCTTAAAAATTTTTTTGTAATAGTACAGGCTTCATAATCTAAAAGGCCTGATTGCTTTTAAAGTGTTTCTGATCCAGTGCTAAAACTAATATAAGTAACAGGCAAAAAATAAACAACCAATGCTTCCCTCTGATGTTGTCCATGTTGGACTGACATTCATAGAAGGATGTGAAATTAAAAATAAGGAGTTTTGTTAATAAGCATCAGGATGCACTTGTATAGATTAAATATATTACACAAGATAAAGTCAGTCACACACCAACTTTACAGGTAGAAAATTCACAATTATGAATATTAGATTTTTTTTTTTAATTTATTTATTTATTTATTTATTTATTTATTTTATTTGTTTTGTTTATACATGCACTGGGTACAGTCAGAAGCACGGGAGGGTGAGAGAATTCACCAGAGCCAGAGCGGGGAGCAGAGCAGGCAGAAGGACTGAAGGACACTGCTGAGGGGAGCAGCGGGTGGCAGGAGAGGTCTGCGCACCATGTGGGATCCTCCTCCGGTGGCCGGGGAGCAGCCGGGGATCGAACCGGCGCCGCAGAGGCCGCGGGCAGCTTCGCAACCCAGCGCTCAACCGCTGCGCCACCGGGGAGGCCCATGAATATTAGATTTCTAACAAAAAATTACAGGGCCTCTCTGGTGGTGCAAGGGGTTAAGACGCAACTTATGAAGCTATCCCACAGCCACTGCAGCATGAATTTGATCCCGGCCTGGGAGATACCCACATGGTGCAGCAGACCTCTCTTGACTCGCTCACTGCTCCCCTCAGCAGTTTATGCCAGTCAATCTGCCTGTTATGTTCCCCACTCTGTCTCTGGTGAATCCTCTCAGCCCCTACATCTCTGGCCTGTATCCCAGTTCTTGTATGGATAAAAAAGTCTTTAAAAAAATTTTAAAAAGCAGGGGGAAATGAGAATAAAATTCTCTACCTACATTAATATTCAGTAAACATCAAATAGCACCATGTAAGATACTGGGAAAAATGGAAACTACATGTACAATGTAGATTTATGGGGTATGTAACTCTTACCCTTAAAGTCATCGATCTTGATGAAGTGAACTGAACATTAACAGAGTTGATAAATTGTTCCTCTGTTATTTCAATTTTCTGATAAAAGGCCTTTATCAGGTTTACTCATTGGTGAGGACTGAGTGTTGCCTCAGTGTTAATCCCTGTGTATGCAATGAGCTTAAGAAACAAAAGTTGCCTTCTGGAAGCTTGCAGTCTAGTTAGGCAGGTCAGATGCTCCAATAAAGCTATTGTAAAAAACAGACACCTTGAATGTCTTGGACTTTTCATTCCCATTCTCCATCCTACATCCCCAGGGTAGGTGGACACCTGTGTTATTCTTTATTAATCCCTTATCACCCATCCAGATGGGTAAAGTGACTTAAAAAAAAAATTAAAAGAGCCTCTACAATGATCACTTTACTAAAGCTAATCACTCAAAGATTGTAATTATAAAGTCCACATGATTCATGGCATGTCTCTGGATGTTTTATCTAATCTCTGTGATTGTTACAACAAATGCTTTGGCCCAAATCATACAGTTGGCCATAAAACAAACTCATGAATTAAATGTGCCCAGTATCCAGATTTCTTTTTTCTCTAAGGATGGCCACCTAGCATGGTTTAGGCCAATGAGGTATAGACACCTTATTACAAGTGATAGGCTTAGTTAGCATATTGTCAACTAATTACTATTTGGAAAGATCCTCTAAGAGGAAATGGCAGACAGTATTTGTTATATTGTTGGCTAAATAATTCTTTGACTTTTTAACCCTTTGTGCTTCTCTCCTTTCCCCCCATATTAAGCTCAGACTACATACTACAATAGAAGGTAAAGCAGTCATGTTGTGCTGTAAGATGAAAAGCTAGACATATGCTAAGAATAATGGAGCAGGATGCTAGAAGGGACTCCCACAGCTTATTTAAGCCCTGCCCTGCCTACCTTTTCTAAAAAATTAGCATCTTGAGTAGCTACACTAGTTCTGAATCCTTATCTCTGGAATAGGTTATTTAAATTTATTCAGTTGACATTCTATTTCGTGCAGTTGGAAGAATTCTGATTGATACAATAGTGATTACACATTTGGCTTTCCTACCTAGATTTTTCAGTGCTCAGCTGGAAAATCCACGTTCAAGGAAAACAGAAAACTGTGGAGAAAACTGCCAGGCTTCTTGTCACTAAATCCCAAACACTATCAGATGATGTGAAATTAAAAGTGTGCTACTGATTGAATTTTCATAGAGCTTCTTTAAACAGCAGGGCAGCTTGAAATTTAATTTTGTTTACCATATTTCTACTTAACTGCAATGAGATTGCCTTTGTAAAAGCAGAGAAGGTCTACCACCGCCTGCATGATGTGATTTAAGGAACAAGAAGACTGGTGATTAAAAATTGTTTCCCCTGAGGGGCATGTCACAATATTTGAAACTGCCACATTGTTCAGTACTTTGATTTAGGTAAGGACTACACAAGCCTGGTGTTTGATAGAAGCTAAATCAATAATACAAGAATTATCAGTTATCAAAATTTAGGCTGACTTAGTTGGTAAGAATAAAGACCAGTAGTCAGTATGTTTTCAGCTTTCTGGTCTCTGTCATAACTATTACACTCTGCCATTATAACACAATAGCTCCTATAGATAAGATGTAAGCAAATGTCCATAGTTGCTTTCCAGTAAAATTTTGTTTATGAACATTGAAATGTGAATTTCATATACTCTTCCTGCATTACAAAATAGTCTTTGACTATTTACAAATGTAAAAATCATAATTCATACAAAAACACTTGGTGGGGCCTCCCCGGTGGTGCAGCGGTTGAGTGCTGGGTTGCAAAGCTGCCCGCAGCCTCTGCTGTGCCGGTGTGATCCCTGGCTGCTCCCCGGCCACCGGAGGAGGGACCCACATGGCGCGCAGACCTCTCCTGCCGCCCGCTGCTCCCATCAGCAGTGTACTTTGGTCCTTCTGCCTGCTCTGCTCCCCGCTCTGGCTCTGGTGAGTTCTCTCACCCTCCTGCGCTTCTGACTGTACCCAGTGTTTGTATAAATAAATAAATAAAAATAAATCTTTTTTTTTTTTTTATAGAGGCATTTTTTTTTTAATTTTATTTGTTTGTTTGTTTTTTTGTACACTGCTGAGGGGAGCAGCGGGCGGCAGGAGAGGTCTGCGCACCATGTGGGATCCTCCTCTGGTGGCCGGGGAGCAGCCGGGGATCAAACCGGCGCCGCAGAGGCCGCGGGCAGCTTCGCAACCCAGCGCTCAACCGCTGCGCCACCGGGGAGGCCCAATAAAAAATAAATCTTTAAAAAAACAAAAAAACAAAAACACTTGGTGGGCCAGATTTGGTCCTTGGGAAGGGGGGGGACTGTTTGAGGAGGCGGAGCCAGTTGTTTCCCCAGGAGTGCTATGCTTTTGAGCAGTTTCCTAAGATCCTGGGAACCATGGAAAAAAAACTCTTCTAAGGAAGAGTGTAAAAACCTTGGCATCATCTTCTGCCTCCTCTTCATTCCTTCCTTTCTCATTCCAACAGCAGGCATAGACTTTACCAGAATTTATGATCTAAGCTCTATGGCCCCAACTTGCTTCAGCTTCCCTGCAGAGAGCATTAGTTATATGCTGATATTATTTCATGTTTTTGTAAAATTTACAAGAATAAGGTAAAAATTATCCTAATCTGGACTAGTAAATTATAAAAAAACTTTCTCCAGATTTATTCCAAAAGCAGAAAAATAAATACATTTCAAATAGATGTATGGGCTATTTTGATTTTTTTGTAATTTAATTAATGTTTATCAACATGTTAGGATATCTGGCCTCTCTCCCTATTGGAGTGAATAACGTTTTCCATGACTGTTTAAGCATTGTTGGGTACAGTTTTTGGCTTCACATCCTATAGGAAAGAAAGATTTATCAAATTTAATAAAAGCTACTAACATGGGCTTGCACATGGCAATACAAATAGAAGAAACTTTTCTAAAGTATCAATTTAAAAACTTCTATAATCTCTGCTAGATAAAACTTTTTTTAATAAAAATATTTCAGAGTATTTTTCACATGAAGAAGTGATAAAAAACTTCAAAAATCTCTTAGAGAAGTTTGTCAATAGTAAATGAGAATATCTTGTGTTTCTAGAATTTGTAATGTTTGTGGTATAATTTGGGATTTATTTTTTCCTTATAAATATGAATTTCATACCAAATTTCCAAATGACAATTTTTGCATTCTTCTAGAAGAGAGTCTCGTCAAATTGTATAACACTTTGGCAGCACAAAACCTAGGTACACCTCTATCCAGGACTCATCACATGGCAAATCATAAAGAAACTATCTCTCCCAAACTGTTTCTCACATCCATTCTCTCCACTGCCACATAAATTCATTTTCTGTAAACCACTGTCTAAAGCAGACTCACTTGGCCTTGCCAGGAGTAGCACATAAGCTGTTTCACTAATTTCCTTCTAGATCTCCCAACATTCACTGTCATGACACTGTTTACTCATTTCTTCTTTCTTCAGTGAGAATTCTGTAGTTCTGAGACTTGAAAACTAACACCGAAACCCTCAATTTCTTTGAAGCTAGGTTTCTGCAATTATCTTGATTTCTGCCTCCTAGATGCAGGCGTACTGTTAAGTATGGAAAGCAAACATGAGGTGGAAGCCCACTTCTTGCTGCTTAGTTTACTTCTTCTACTAAAACAAGGAGACATCTGTTCCCCAGGCATTGAAACTAGGCCTTTTGTGTTTAATTGAGGTCTGTTGGTTTACAGAATCATGTGTGATTCAGAGGTATGGGATCACACCTCTTCAGATGTATGCTACCACTCCACAAGTCAGCCATATCCCTCCACCATAATCCATTGTGCCGCCTCCATGCCCTGTTCTCCACCCTCTGCTAGCCTTAATTACACAAACAGATTTCTAAGGTTTTTTTTTTTTTTTTACTAGTTTGGGTTTGACTGACCCTTTATTTATAATCCACATATAAACAAAACCAGTAATGCCTGTCTTTTTCTTTCTCTCATTTACCTTAGTATAATCCCCTCAAGTTCTAAACATGTCACACATGTTAAGAGTTCATCTTCTTTTTGTTTTAATAACTAAGTATTACTAGTTTTGTGATTGTAGAAAGACAATTCCATTGGTAATAGAAGCTCTGCCTGATTCCTCAGTCTCTTGTTAGTCAGAAAATTCACAGCTTCTCTCTCAAATCAGTCTCACTGTATTATTTTGAGAATTATTATGGTAGGATCCTCTTCCAACACTTCAGATGATATTGTGAGCATCTAATTCCCTGTGCCAAACCCCTTTTTCATTTAAGTTGGCATGATAATTTGTTACTATAACTCAACAATCTATACATTTCTGAAATATTTCCTTTACAGAATGATCTTTTTAATCAGTCATTCTATCACTGTTACCATATGACTCAAGAATAATGTCCAAACATCTCACTGAATATTAAAAGCTCTTGACAATCTAACAGCAACCCAGTAATCCATGCTTTGCTTATACTTCTATATTTTCTATATGCCCAAGTGGTAGGCAGGCTATTTTACATACACTTCTTTGAATTTATGATACATTTTTATTCCTCCTTGTCTTTCCTCAAATGCCATCTCAAGCCTAATGTAGTTATCCTACAACTTGAACTTTGAAAAATACTACTCATCCTGAAAAGTCCTGTTCTTTCTGTCACGCTTCCATGAGCCCTTGTACAGAATCAACCATTTGTTCCTCTTCAATCTCAGCAAATTTATAGGTATAAACTCTTTGGTCATGTACCACATTTTGGAAATGATTTATAGTTACACATGGTGACTTAAAACACTTTTCTAAAAATGTTCAGTTAGACTATAGACACATAAAAAATTGTTCAGCATTACTTATTCTCAGGTAAATGCAAATCAAAATCACAAAAAATTATAACCTCACCCCTGTGAGAAAAGCCCATATAAAAAAGAATGGAATCAACAAATGTTGGCAAGATTACAGTGAAAAATAACTCTCATCAACAATTGGGGGAATGGAGTTGATGAGCATCTGTGGAAAACAGTCTGGAGATTTCATAAGGAAATAAAAATAGAAAATCTGTATGGTCAGACAATACCTTTGTTAGGTATTTATCCAAACAATTGAAATCTCAAATATGAAAAAATTATGTATGCCTATGTTCAAAACAATACTGTCCACAATTGCCACGTCATGGAAACAAACTAAGTGTCCTTCAACATACAGATGGTAAACTGTGCAATATATAGTTGATGGAATACAACACAGCTGTGAAAAAGATGGAACTGTGGCATTTGGGACAAAATGGATAGATCTTGAGGTGATTATGTTATGGGAAATAAGTCACAAAAGCAAAGACAGATAATGAATGGTTTCACTTCTCTGTGAATGTAAGTAATCAAAAACCCATAAACAGTTAAAATACAGTAGGAATAAACAAACTCAGTGAAAAAATACAATGGTTACCAGAGGGAACAGGGGTGAGGGAAGAGGAGGAAGGTAAATGGGGTATTGGCATGGGTGGTTTAATGGAGGGTGAGTGAAATATGGGCACATATGGGAGAGCAAAAATGTAACCTCAAAATTAAAATAAAAACATAATAATGGTATTTGTTTCACAAGTAGCAGTATCAGTTTGAGAAATCATATAAGACCTTTGTAGCCCTAAAGTAGAGGTGGAAGCCATTATACTTAAATATATTTGACTCACTGAATGACATTATTTTCAGTAGGCAGAGAAAAATAGTCAAGTTTATATATTGAATCACCAATTTATCAGAATGTAGTTTGAAAAACATATATATATATATATATATGTATATATCCACACACATTTAACTCTCTTCAACAGTAAGTTATTTGAATTACAAAATGAGGTTTCCTATAATCATTTTGCCACTGACACATACTGAAATCAATTTGGTTTCTCTTCTTTGGGTCAGCATGAAGTAAAGGAGCATGCTATCTAATTTTCCTCTAGGTAGCTTTTATGTGGATATTAATCATATAAACGCATATTCTCTTTCAGAGGTAGAAAGGTTCCTTGTTCCACAAGGATAGCTTATTCTCTACAACGTACCCAGGCAGAATATTAAAAGCAAAACAATTTCATACATAGAATGTTTTATGTTAAAGGTAAAATCCCAAGACTATGAATGCTATTACCAAGATGAGGTTTTTATAGCAAAACTGTTCTACGATCTGGTATTGGTCACAATAAGACTTTGTTGAACTGGCTATAGAATGTTCTTTGGCCCAAGTTCTTACAGGGCCAATATAACATAAGCAGCAGATAGTGTAATGCTTACACTGTAGCAGGGAATGAGAGACAACATCCTCATACCTTATAGTCATAGCACACCTTCAAATTTATAAATTGCTTTACTGTCTTTTAACACATCTGATTTTCACTCTCAATTTGAGCAACATATGAGAGCAAATAATCACCGCCACTGAGCAGATGGAGAAATTGAGGCTTAGATGATTAAACTCAAACCCATGACTCCTAACACAGCTATTGTTTTCTTCTCCTGGCATTTATTTTCGTTTGTCATTTAGCAGCCAACTCATCTCACAAACCTCATATGCATTTTCTCTTTACAATGAAAAGGACAGAAGAGAGCAAGCACAGTAGTGCATTTTTTTCCTTCCGCCTTTACATTCTTTTACTTGCTTTTATTTTTATCTTGGTCACATTTTTTTTCTATTCAGTGATATATATATACCCAAATTTCATTTTTAACAACATAATCAATAACAAAAACCTACTTAGTGAATCAATTCAGAAGTTTTATCTGTGCCACAGAAATCACTTTTCTACCAAGAATCTTAGTATCTTTTATTAAAAAAAAAAAAAAAAGTGACATGTTGATGTGACTAAAACCTTGGGAATCTTTCCAGGCATCTTTCCCTTTGTCTCACTGTACACGTCCCTAGAAGTATCATGTATTGTTGAATCTAAGCCCTGAAAAGCTCTACCCTTCTTTTCCATCTGTAATTCTGCCTTGATTGAGATCCTCATCATTTTATTGGGATTACTCTTAATTTATAGCCAACTTTAGTCCTAACAATTTGTTTTCATATGCTAACAGAGTAATTTCTAGGGCCTGACAACAAATAAATACTTGAGACTACTTAGGATCCCTGCATTTCTACTTTTCATTATGTTTTTGATGTAACTGAATACTTCAAATGAACAATATTGATTTCTTTTAAGACTCTTTATACACCTAATATTTTTTACTTAGAAAACAAGCTATTATCTACCGGTATCAGTAGAAACCATTAGAAAGTGCAAATGAAGCCTACCAGGCGTCAGAGAAGTCAACCACATTCAAGCTCACTAGAGATCAGTCTCTAAAACAGCAAATCCCAAGTCTACATACATGGAGAATATGCTATTAAATTTCAGTGTTCTTTCACAAAATGTACTTTTTTTTTCCCCAGTGGAAAAGGTCATTCCAGATATGTTGATTTAGTCTAATGAAGTCATCCATTAACTATCAACAAAATTATTTCACAGAAATTGATGCAAATAATCTTTTAGCTTTAGCCTACTATACTAAGGTGTTCCCTAAACGTACCTCCTGTGGGTGGGAGGATTCCAAGAAAGTTTTGACTCCAAAGCACTTTGAAAATGTAACTCCCATTAGCTACAGAGAATCTTACAGTTCAAAATTTAATACTTACACCAAAGTTGGTAGCAGCAAATCGATCTGAGGCAGAAACTTGTACATTTGTGGAAACTGTTGTGTGAGCATAAAAAGCGTTGATATTTGCCAGCAAGGTGCTCATGACAGCAGGGACACCAGGGCACATGTACTTTGAAGACAGACATGAAAAGTGCCTGCAAAATAAAAACATTAAACATTTTTAAAGCAAAAACTAATTTATTAACGTAACAGTATGTCCTCTAATTAAATTCCTCAACTACATCTAAGAAAAGGAGAGAAAATCCCCACAATCTAATTGAAAGAGAAGGTAATGCCAGCCTTTAAAATACTTCATTCACAACTGTGAATGAAGCTGGCTAACTCAGAATGTGAATTGCCACAAGAAAGTGAGCATAATTCCATACAACTGTGAGAGACTGGTATGGACATACCAAAAGTACAATTTTCTGGCACTGTCAGAAAGCAGTAACACAAGAGTCTCCCTCTCTCCCTGATTCATTTCAATTCCTGAAATGCTATCTTCCAACTAGAATGTTCTTTCACACTTGTATTGTGTGAACTGATTTAAACTGATGAAGTATGCAAAAGGCTCTCCTTTCATTGCACACTGATTAAAGAAGTGAACTTAACATCTGACTTAAGTCTAATTTATGAGCTTTTGTCATAAAGGAATTATCTTCCTTAAGCAGTTCTGTTTTCTATGCATTTTGTTAAAGCCATGATTTAATTAGGCATAAGATGAATAGTGAGGACAGATTCAATTATGCTAGTTTTATTCTTAAAGATCTCCTAAACTTTGAATAATAGTATCGTTTACAGACACCACAAGCAGCAACTGTTTAAATCTGTTACTTCTCTCAAGAAAACCTGTTTCATTTTAACTATAACAAAAGAACTGAATGTTGAAAGCACAGCGTATGATAAAATGAAAAGATATGCATGCAGGAAAGAGATTTTCAATATATAATCTGGTATTTTGCTCTCATATCAGCAATTTAGCTTTCAACTAGGCATCTCTTAATTTTGTATTATTTTTATTTTTTAAATATTTATTTGTTTTGTAGAAGAACTGGGGTGCAGGCCAGAGTTGTGGGGGGTGAGAGGATACACCAGAGACAGACTAGGGAGCAAAACAAGCAGACTGACTGAAATAGACTGCCAAGGGGTGCATCGGGGGAGACAGGAGAGGTCTGCTGCACCATGGGTTTGCTCCCTGGCCAGGACTTGACCTCAGACTGCAGAGGTGATAGCACTAAGACTTAACCCCTACACCACCATGGAGGCCCTGAATTTTGTATTATTGAACACAAACACAATATACATATATAAAAGCTCTGAGAGGCAACCGAAAATAAATGCAAGGGTAAAATTACAGCTTCTCCTAGATCTGACAGGTCGCACACATACCTTTTTAGGATACTTGTTAATGAAAGTAGGTTCAAATTTTAAACATAGATCTTTGAGAATCTTAACTTGTATCATGATAATTGTCTGATTTAATCACTCTAATACTGATATTAGATTAATGATTGCTAAGGCAAATGATACATATTTTGACTTTATATAGGCTATAGTTACCCAATCTCTATGAAGAACACATGATGTTAAAATATAAATTAAGGTGTTGCCTGGTGGCGCAAGGGGTTAAGCACTGCACTACAAAGCAATCTGCAGCCTCTGGAGCACGAGTTTGATCCCCGGCCCGGCCAGGAGGCAACACACATGGCGAGGCAGACCTCTCCTGTCTCATCCGCTGCTCCCCTCAGCAGTGTATTTCAGTCAGACTGCCTGTTCTGCTCCCCATTCTGTCTCTGGTGAATCCTCTTACTGCCCCACATCTCTGGCCTGTACCCCAGCTCTTGTATGCATAAATAAATATTTAAAAAATATTAACAAAAATTAAAAAAAAATTAACAAATCCTTACAAAATTAAGGAGTATATTTCTTTGTTTTATTTTCCAACTATTCACAATTAGATTTGTTATACTTAAGTCAGAGATCAAGAGTTGTATAATCTACAGTACCTAACTATAAAGGTGTGGGGGCTGGAAATAGCAAACTACACATACACATAGGGGTAATAAGAGATAATAGTGGTCAAAATAAACTGGTAAGGAACTCAAAGATCAAAATTTTATTGTTCTGAGCATGCATTACTTATTTAAAGGGCAATTGTAATCCTCAGAATGGATGCATTTGTTCTTGGATTGAAAAGGACTGGTGTCCTCATAATTCAGCCTGTTAGTCTTTACTACCTTTAGTTGTAATCTTGAGATTTTTGATGTCAGATCAAGGTTACAGCAACAGTTTTAAGATTACTCTAAGCATAATGAAGGAGAAAATACAAAATCCACACAAGGCACGTGCTTATTTTATAAGTGAAACAGAGCACTTTATGTTGAAAATGACAAATTATTGAACCCTACTCACTATTTATAAGGCATGTGAGTGAAAAATGGGTGTAACAGAAGACAGGAAATGTCAGCAAGCAAGCTTTGCCTATTTTGTACTTGAGTTGGTTATGCCAGTATTTATTTATTTTTAATTGAGGTAATATCTGGATCTCTCCATCATGTATTGCCACCATAGTGGTTATGCCAATTACCTTGTCCTATGAATTTGTGAATTTGTGAATCCTAAGTCACATTTTACAATTAAAATGAGAGGTTTAACAATTTGTAAGGAAGCTAAGAAAATTTTTGGTTAATACAGGCTCACCATGTAAATAAATATAATTTGAGACATCTGGTTTAATACAATCCCTGATATGTATTTGTCATAAATTTTAATACCATATTAGGTATTATAATATAGAAAAGTAAAACATATAAAAATAGATATCAGAAAATTAAATTATTTATGCTTTAAGCTTTTCATTAAAAAACTATTAATAAACAAATAGAATTATAATTTGTCTTATTGAAGTTAATTATCAATTAATTGGAATAATTAGAATTAACACTGATTCTAGTATTTTATTCTACTCCTTAATCTTGGATTCATCTTTATATTGAAGTCATCTGTTCAGAACACTATCCCTTCAATAACTACGCATTTATTATATTTCTTTTCTTAAAAAAGATTTATTTATGCATCCAAGAACTGGTGTATAGACCAGAGGTGTGTGGAAGGGGGTAAGAGTATTCACCAGAGACAGAGTGGGGAGCAGAACAGGAGGATCCACTGAAATACACTGCTGAGGGGAGCAGAGCAGTGGAGGAGACAGGAGAGGTCTGCTGCATGTGGGTTAGCTCCCTGCCCAGGGGTCGGACTCGTGCTGCAGTGGCTATGGATAGCTTCATTGTGCTGACACTTAACTGCCTGCACCACCAGGGAGGCCCCATTTATTATATTTCTGTCACTATTCTTTGTGACAGGGATCTTGAGTTGAATAAAACAAGGTCCTATAGAAAACGCATACTCCTCATTGAAAGGCACACACATTAAAGCCTAATTTTGTCATGTAGGAGAAAGTGCTACTATAGAAGTATCTAAAAGTTTGGGTAAGCTAGAAGATAAAGGAGTGAGGGGCAAAGTTCCCAACAGCTGACTCCTCTAGTGGTAAACCCACAGGACAAAAATTGAGGGGAAATGCATGAACCAAGGTATAGCAAGGATTAGGATTTATATCATAGTAATGGAAGAGTGAAGAATTTAATGTCCCAAAATTTGATTCAATGTTTATTGAACAAGTCTGAATGCCAGATGCTGTACTGGGTGCTGAGTACACACCAATGAATCCACTTACAAACTAGTTGGGAAATCAGTCCCACAAAAATACAATTATGAGAAAGAACAGCATAAAAGAGTGCTATGAGATACTGAGTTAAAAAGGATGCTTTATAACCTACTGGGGAAGGTCAACAAAGATTTCTCAAAATGAGGCTGGGTTGAGTTAATGCATAACTAAAAGATAGTCAAGCCAATAATTAAGGTTTGCTATTACTGATAAAAATTGTAATCCTAAAGAATAGTACAAACACAGGCACAATGGAAAGAAACAAGGTATAGTGGGCCTCCCTTGTGGCACAAGGAGTTAAGATGAAGCATTTATGAAGCTATCACAGCCACTTTGGCATGAGTTTGATCTCTGGTCAGGGAGGTGACCCACATGGCACAGCAGACCTCTCCTGTCTCGCCCAGTGCTCCCCTCAGCAGTGTATTTCAGTAAATCTGCCTGTTCTGCTCCCTACTGTGTCTCTGGTGAATCCTCTCACCCTCCACACCTCTAGCCTGTACCCCAGTTCTTGTATGCATAAATAAATAAATCTTTTTTTAAAAAAGGAAACAAACAAGGTATTGTGTAGCATGAACCCTAGCAATTTTGGACTGGTGGAGCTCAAATTTCCAAAAGAACATTCCAGGCCCATGATCAGAGATAAGGCAAGGGGGTATGTAACATAAAACAGTTGTGCAATAAATTAGCTAAGTTGGACCTATTATCTGGTCAAAAGACTTTTTTTTTTTCCCCCCAAGCAAGGAGGATTTGGAAAGCCATACAGAGTTAATGTAAGTAAAAAAATCACCTATTTCTGGTTCTTTATAGAGATAGGGAATGTCATCATTAGAGTTTAATTTCAAATAGAAATTGGGAGGAGATTTTAGAATGAGTTCAAAGAAGTTGAGACTAGAGAGCAGAGCTCAATTAGGAGATTGTAACAGGAAGAACTAGGGTAGGAGATCTGCAAAGGATGACAAAATGGATTTGCGAAACACTGAGAGAGGAAAAACAGAGGAGTTGCAGACTGATAAGGAATGAGACAGGAAAAAAAAAAAAAAAGTTAAAGTTCCAAGTATTTAGTTTGGGTGACTAAGTGAATTGTGCTTCTGCCTAGTGAACTAGGAACCAGGAAAACAGAATTTTAAAATGGAGTTAAGGTATCAATTGAGTTTGAGCTTAAAGTCCTCATAGACTTTTCATATAGGAGTGTCCACCAGGTTATTGGCGGCATCAGGAATAAACACTTAAATGTGGAAGTGATCAACATTTTCATAGTCAGTGGTCAACTTTTTGGTGGTCAACTTTTTCAAGTGGTCAACTTTTCATAGTCAGTCAAAACTATGAAAGGGATAAAATCATCCTGGGAGATTATGAAAAAGGAAGAAAGAACTGTCAGGGAGTAGAACCTGAGAAATACCAACACACAAAGGACTGAAGGAAAAAAAAAATATG